CCTATCAATCAACAAGGAGTGCATGTATCTTGATGAGCACTGAGTGATGTATGGAATTGTTGAATCGCTGTTTTGTATGCCTGAAACTAATATCATGCTATGTTAACTACACTGGAATTAAATATATATATGCGGGGCGCCTATATATGGGTGGCTCCGTGAAGCGTTTGACTTCGTCTCAGGTCATGATCTCATGGTTCCTGGGTTGGAGCCCCGCATCGGGCTCTGTGCTGACAGCTCAGAGCCTAAAGCCTGCTTTGGATTCTGTATCTCCCTCTCTCTCTGCCCCTCCCCCACTCATGCTTTGTCTCTCTCTCTCTCTCTCTCTCTTTCTCTCTTTCTCAAAAATAAACTTAAAAAATTAAAAAAAATACATATATATGTATATATGTATATGTATATACATATGTATGTATATGTACATACATATGTGTACATATATGTACATATGTACATACATATACATATGTATATACATATGTATATATGTATATATATATATATTTCACTTGCATATATATATATATGCAAGTGAAAGAAACCAAACATAAAAGACCACATATTATCTGATTCCTTATATGAAATATCTAGAGGCCAATCTATAAAGACAGAAATAGAAAGTAGATTAGTGGTTGCCACTGCCTGGGGTGTTGGGAGGAAATCATGGCTGCCTATGGGTATGGGATTCCTTCTGGGGTGATGGAAATGTCTTAAAATTATACTGATAGCTGCATAATTCTGTGACTATACCAAAAATGGTTGAGTTGTGTATGTTAAAATGTTATTTAAAAAAAAAAAAATCACTTCATTTGCAAATTCATAGAGACACTGTATGTAAAACACCAAGCTCAAGGCCCGCCAACGGGGAAACAGCTGATAAACGTTAGCTCTGGGAAGCCTTGTCGAAGAGTAGGGCTGTTCATCCAAGAGGAGAGAAGACCTGGGGTGCGGGAGGGGGTGTGCCAGCCATCTTCATATAGCTGAAGGGCTCTGTGGGGGCGGGTGAGTGGTCCCCAAGGCCCTATAACGTATAGAGAAAGCAACAAGAGGGAAAGCTTGAGAGAAACACATTTCGTCTCCATAGACATGGAGAATTGCTTCTCACAATGGGTTGCCCAGTGAGGTAGTGAGCCAGCCGCCCTGTCACTAGAAGTCGTCAAACAGATACAATGAATACATATTGGGATGCTACAGAGAGAACCTCAGCATTAGGGGAACATCTGAGGCAGAGGCCAGCGGCTTGGAGGCTCACAAAGGCCTGTGGGTAGCTATTCAGGAACGTTGCGAGCTGCTGGTTAAACCGTTGATGGCTCATTGTCAGCAAGGCCAGCAGTGTTTATACACTGTGGAAATCAGCAGTCGCTGCACATCTGGACGTCTCTGTGAACTGTCCCAAATGCCCCATCCCCTCTAGTGCTTACCACCTGTTATGCGTCAGCCGTGGCTGGGTTCTTTCCGTATGCCGTCCCACGTGATCCTCAGACAACCTTCCGGGAGGTGGCCTGGTCTCCCTGATCACGGTGGGGGGCACTGGAGCTCAGCCAGGTGGAGTGGCTTGGCTTTGGTCATTACCTTAGGGCCTCTACGGTGCCTTTCCAGCTGGCATCAGCTGCTGCTCCTGGCCCGAGTCCTGTGGCTTCCAGAAAAATGGCCCCAGTGACCTCTGGCTTCTTCTCTAGTGACCTTGTGGCAGTTTTCCGAGGATTTCCCCACAAGTCCCCTGGGGCTTGATTCTCTGGATGAACTGGTGAACCACCCCCAGGCTGGGCTTATCTTCATTGCCTTTCGGCACAGCCCTCACGCTCCAGAACTGACTTCACGACACGAAACAAACAAACAAACAAAAGCTGGAGTGTACTGTAGAAATTGAGCTGGCAGAGGGAATAATAAGCTTGGCTGCCTGGGGACCTCCCACCCTGTATCTCCTCAGCCTGTGACACACGCTGAGATCTTGGGGGAAGGTGTGTGGGTGTTTTGTTTGCTTTTTAATTAAGTATTTCAAGCACACAGAAGTCCAGGGGAAAACATAACGATGCCCTGAGTACCCATAACTCAGTTTTGTTAAATCCTTGTCATTTTGGCTTATTGCTGCAGATCCCCTAAAAAATAAATCAGGGGTCACAGAGCTGGCCGAAGCCTCCTGCAGACCCCTCCCCGGTCCCATTTTCTTCCTCTCCCCTCGGCAGGAACCAGCATCCTGAACTGGGTGTGTCCGTATCCACAAACAAGACACGGAGCTGTGGCATGTGTGTTTTTACACCTGCTTATGTTCCTTCCTTCTGTAATGTGCTTATTCCACTCAACATTAGGTTTGAGTGATTTTGAAATTTGTTCTTTTTTTTATTTTTTAAATGTTTTTAAATTTTTTTTTTTTTTTTTTTTTTTTTTTT